ATAAAAAAAATGAATTCCTCTATTACCAAATATGGTAATAAAATTAATTGCCATTTGTGTGACGAGGATTGTTACATTCTCCCCCTCTTGAAATTCAACGTCCTCGTTGACTCTCATATTCTCTAATCCTTTCTTGACAATTCTTTAGATTGTCCATAGGCTCCCATGTAGCATCGTATAATGGGTAACCTAACCATTTCACAAGGTATTGTGGCTTTTTACGAATAACTCTTTTGTCCAAGATCATTTCAACTTCATATTCTTCTTGATTGTCATCTGTTGTGAAAATAGGCGGAGGTGGAATTTCCCTTTCAAATTCATCAGATTCTTTATATGGTTTAAGGAGTGAGACATGAAACACTGGATGAATTTTTAGATTTGCTGGTAATTCTAATTTATATGCTGTTTTTGATATTTCTGCTATTATTTTATATGGACCAATATACTTAGGACTAAGTTTTCTTGTAGGTCTTTCTTTATCTACAGGTGTATTAATATTTTTTGTTGATAATAAGACTCTATCTCCTGTTTTATATTCTACATGGCGTCGATGTTGGTTTGCATATTTGATTTGTTTTTCTTGTGCTAATATCAATGTGTCTCTTGCTATTTTCATCATATTATTCCAATGATCTAAGAATTCATTTACTGTAGCAACTCTTGTTGAATTATTCGATGAAATTGTCACTGGGGTGTTTGGATGATATCCACAATCAAGTTCAAATGGTGTGAATCCTGTGGAGACATTCTTTGAATTATTGTATGCAAATTCTGCTGCAGGTAAATATTCATCCCATTGGTCTTGATTATATGTTGCATAAATTCTTAACATTTCTTCTAACGTACGATTCATTCGTTCAGTTTGACCATCTGTTTGAGGATGAAAAGCTGTAGACATTGACAACTTGGTACCTAATTGTTGAAAAAGTGTTTTCCAGAAATTACTGGTAAATTTGGCATCTCGATCTGAAATTATCACTTTGGGTAGTCCATGATTTTTAAAGATTACTGAAAAGAAAATTTTTGCAACTTCAGGAGCAGTAATTGTAGTATTAGCTGGATAGAAATGTGCTCGTTTTGTTAATTTGTCAACAAATACTACGATTGCATCTTTTCCTTGACGTGTCGATGGAAGTTGAGTGATAAAATCCATAGTAACTTGTTCCCATCTTTGGTTTGGTATGGACAAAGGTTGCAACAATCCTGCAGGTGTTTGATTACTACTCTTATTACGTTGGCATTCATCACAGCTAAGTATATATTTACGTATGTCTTTATTCATTTTAGGCCAATAAAAATTTCTCATAACTAATTCACATGTTTTATCAATTCCAAGATGACCAGCGATCTCAACATCATGATGTTCCTTTAGAATTTTTGTTCGTAAGGCTTTGTTAGCTGGGACTGCTAGTCTCTTTCCATTTATTAAGTATATTTTACCATTTTGAAGCTCAAAATATTTAGCTCTTGCTTGTTGCTTTGCATCACTATTTTCTAAATTATTTAAAATATTCCAGATAATACCAAAATAATTATCATTTAAATAAGCTTCTTTCCAATTAATATGATTGTCCAATTGTGTAGATATAATTGAAACATTAGCAAGATGATGTAAGCGAGAAAGAGCATCAGCAACTACATTAGTCTTGCCTGGACGATATTTTACTTCAAAATCTATTGATTGCAATAATTCTAACCATCTGGCTTGTCTTCGTGAGAGGTTTGCTTGAGATTTAATGAATTCAAGAGATGCATGATCAGTTATGACTGTAAATTTCTGTCCTTCCAAGTAAGTACGCCATAATTTTATAGCATGTACAATAGCTAACAGTTCCTTTTCATGTGTAGGGTAATTTTGTTCAGCGTTAGACAATTTACGAGACTCATACGCAACTGGTTGTTCACCCTTCCCTTGATTTTGACTTAACACTGCACCTATTGCAAAATCCGAAGCATCTGTTGTTAAAATGAAAGGCTTTGTTGGATCGGGTAAAAGCAAAACTGGAGCAGATGTCAACTGGTGTTTGAGTTGATCAAAAGCTTGTTGTTCCTTATCACCCCATTTGAATGATTTTT